CCAAATTCAACATATGAATTATGAAATAAGTGTAGAATTTTCTCAGGAATCTGAATCTGCAAACCAAATTTCGATCAGACTTCCGGTTCGGAAGTTATGGCGTTTTGAAAGCTCAAAAATAGCTAAATTTGTGCCCCATGTTAAGTCAATGGGAAAAAAGATTTTTTTGAAGTGTAATATACGAGATATAGACTGAGTACAGCTTAATATAATGATAGCCCTTAAAAGAAGGGGACCTAAAAAGCCAACTTGCTTCAAAATCTGGACAGCAAAATGCCTAGGTCAAAATCTAGGTCAAATTCATAGTTTTTCCTTATTTTTGTGATTCTGACACTACATTTTAATGATTTGCTTCAAAATTTTGTATACAGGTAGCAAAGAGTGTGCTAATAGTGTGAGCCTTTTGCCGTCAGAAAGTATTTTGACCCACTTTTGAGATATGGTGTCCGAAAAGTAGGTCAAAATAAAAAATTCTCCAAATTCAACGTATGAGTTATGAATTAAGGGTAGAATTTTCTCAGGAATCCGAATCTGCAAACCAAATTTCGATCTGACTACTGGTTCGGAGGTTATGGCGTGTCCAAAAAGTAGGTCAAAATAAAAAAAATCCAAATTTAACGTATGAGTTATGAATTAGGGGTAGAATTTTTTCAGGAATCCGAATCTGCAAACTAAATTTCGATCCGATTTCCGGTTCGAAAGTTATGGCATTTTGAAAGCTCAAAAATCGCTAAAATTGGTGCCCCACGTTATGGCAATGGGAAAAAAGATTTTTTTGAAGTGTAAATTACGAGATATAGACTAAGTACAGCTTCAAATAATGAAAGCCTATAAAAGAAACGGACCTCAAAAGCTATCTAGCTTCAAAATTTGGACACCAAAATGCCTAGGTCAAAATCTAGGTCAAATTTATAGTTTTAACTTATTTTTTAGATTCTGACGCTACACTCTAATTATTTGCTTCAAAATTTTGTATACAGGTAGCAAAGAGTGAGTTAATAGTGTTAGCCTTTTGCCGTCAGAAAGTATTTTGACCGACTTTTGAGATATGGTGTCCGAAAAGTAGTTCAAAATAAAAAGTTCTCAAAATTTAAAGTATGAGTAATGAATTAAGGGTAGAATTTCCTCAGGAATCCGAATCTTTAAACCAAATTTCAATCCAACTTCTGGTTAGATAGTTATATCGGTTTGAAGTCTCGAAAAGTCGATCTGATGATATCTCCATGTTAAGCCAATGGAGTCGAAGATAACATTCTTAAGAGTCGTCTAAATGTCTATATTCTAGATGACTCAGCTTATTCTGGATGACTCAGCTTACAAGTTTTCTGGATGACTCAGCTTTAAAATCTGGAGTCTTAAATTGAACTTGTTCAATTTACATGTCTAGTTATTATTATTCTTCCTCCTCACCAAATTTCTCGTCAACTATAACAGCTTACTTAATCCAACTTACATGGTTAACTAAGGACTGGATCCGGCTTTCTGGGAAATTAGGTCAGATTTTTATCTAGGTCAAAGGTCAAGAACTAGGTCACAATCGTGTGTTTTCACTATTTTGCCAGTTTTCTCAGTCGTCATTCAGTATTTTCGCTCCAGGTTTTTTTCATCATGTTCTTTCGAAAAAACGCTAATTCGTGAGGCAAATGGTTTTTTGATTTCTCTTACCGATTTTGAGATATGGCGTCCGAAAAGTAGGTCAGAACAGCAAGTTCTCCAAATTCAACATCTGAGTTATGAAATAAGTGTAGAATTTTCTCAGGAATCTGAATCTGCAAACCAAATTTCGATCCGACTTCCGGTTCGGAAGTTATGGCGTTTTGAAAGCTCAAAAATAGCTAAATTTGTGCCCCATGTTAAGTCAATGGGAAAAAAGAATTTTTTGAAGTGTAATATACGAGATATAGACTGAGAACAGCTTAATATAATGATAGCTTTTAAAAGAAGGGGACCTCAAAAGCCAACTAGCTTCAAAATCTGGACAGCAAAATGCCTAGGTCAAAATCTAGGTCAAATTCATAGTTTTTCCTTATTTTTGTGATTCTGACACTACATTTTAATGATTTGCTTCCAAATTTTGTATACAGGTAGCAAAGAGTGTGCTTATAGTGTTAGTTTTTTGCCATCAGAAAGTATTTTGACCCACTTTTGAGATATGGTGTCCGAAAAGTAGGTCAAAATAAAAAGTTCTGCAAATTTAACGTATGAGTTATGAATTAAGGGTAGAATTTTCTCAGGAATCCGAATCTGCAAACCAAATTTCAGTCCGACTTTCGGTTCGGAAGTTATGGCGTTTTGAAAGCTCAAAAATCGCTAAATTTGGTGCCCCATGTTATGTCAATGAGAAAAAAGATTTTTTTGAAGTGTAAAATTCGAGATATAGACTGAGTACAGCTTAACATTCTGAAAGCCTATAAAAGAAGGGGACCTCGAAGGCTACCTAGCTTTAAATTTGGACACCAAAATTCCTAGGTCAAAATCTAGGTCAAATTCATAGTTTTTCCTTATTTTTGCGATTCTGACATTAAACTTTAATGGTTTGCTTCAAAATTTTGTATACAGGTAGCAAAGAGTGTGCTTATAGTGTTAGCCTTTTGCCGTCAGAAAATATTTTGACCCGCTTTTGAGATATGGTGTCCGAAAAGTAGGTCAAAATAAAAAGTTCTTCAAATTTAACATATGAGCTATGACTTAAAGGTAGAATTTTCCCAGGAATCCGAATCTGCAAACCAAATTTCAATCCGACTTCCGGTTCGGAAGTTATGGCGTGTCCAAAAAGTAGGTCAAAATAAAAAATTCCCAAATTTAACGTATGAGTTATGTACTAGGGTAAGAATTTTGTCAGGAATCCGAATCTGCAAACTAAATTTCGATCCGACTTCTGGTTCGAAAGTTATGGCGTTTTGAAAGCTCAAAAATCGCTAAATTTGGTGCCCCATGTTATGTCAATGAGAAAAAGGATTTTTTGAAGTGTAAAATACTAGATATAGACTGAGTACAGCTTAATATTCTGAAAGCCTATAAAAGGAGGGGACCTCGAAGGCTATCTAGCTTTAAAATTTGGACGCAAAAATGCCTAGGTCAAAATCTAGGTCAAATTCATAGTTTTTCCTTATTTTTTCGATTCTGACATTACACTTTAAGAATTTGCTTCAAAATTTTGTATACAGGTAGCAAAGAGTGTGCTAATAGTGTTAGCCTTTTGCCGTCAGAAAGTATTTTGACCCACTTTTGAGATATGGTGTCCGAAATGTAGGTCAAAATAAAAAATTCTCCAAATTTAACGTATGAGTCATGAATTAAGGGTAGAATTTTCTCAGGAATCAGAATCTTTAAATCAAATTTCGATCTAACTTTTGGTTAGATAGTTATAGCGGTTTGAAGTCTCGAAAAGTCGATATGATGATATCCCCATGTTTAGCCAATAGAGTCGAAGATAGCCTTCTTAAAATTTGTCTAAATGTCTATATTCTAGCTGACTCAGCTTATTCTGAATGTCTCAGCTTACAAGTTCTGGATGACTCAGCTTAAAAAAAATTTGAAATCTGGAGTCTTAAATTGAACTTGTTCAATTTACATGTCTAGTTATATGTAATACATCATTTTGTCTCTTGTAATCAACTAGGACTGGATGGGGAAGACGGGTAAGACATTATTATATGAAATACATCATTTTGTCTCTTGTAATCAACTAGGACTGGATGGGGAAGACGGGTAAGACATTATTATATGTAATACATCATTTTGTCTCTTGTAATCAACTAGGAATGGATGGGGAAGACGGGTAAGACATTATTATATGAAATACATCATTTTGTCTCTTGTAACCAACTAGGACTGGATGGGGAAGACGGGTAAGACATTATTATATGTAATACATCATTTTGTCTCTTGTAATCAACTAGGACTGGATGGGGAAGACGGGTAAGACATTATTATATGAAATACATCATTTTGTCTCTTGTAACCAACTAGGACTGGATGGGGAAGACGGGTAAGACATTATTATATGTAATACATCATTTTGTCTCTTGTAATCAACTAGGACTGGATGGGGAAGACGGGTAAGACATTATTATATGAAATACATCATTTTGTCTCTTGTAACCAACTAGGACTGGATGGGGAAGACGGGTAAGACATTATTATATGTAATACATCATTTTGTCTCTTGTAATCAACTAGGACTGGATGGGGAAGACGGGTAAGACATTATTATATGTAATACATCATTTTGTCTCTTGTAACCAACTAGGACTGGATGGGGAAGACGGGTAAGACATTATTATATGTAATACATCATTTTGTCTCTTGTAATCAACTAGGACTGGATGGGGAAGACGGGTAAGACATTATTATATGAAATACATCATTTTGTCTCTTGTAATCAACTAGGACTGGATGGGGAAGACGGGTAAGACATTATTATATGTAATACATCATTTTGTCTCTTGTAATCAACTAGGACTGGATGGGGAAGACGGGTAAGACATTATTATATGAAATACATCATTTTGTCTCTTAGGAGTATGGCTATTGTTGTAGCTGTAAAATAGATATCACTGAATTTCAGATAAATTGAGAACGTTTGCACATCAAAATTTGTTGAACAAGTATTATTACATGTTATTGTAAGATAGTCAGTGTTCTCCACAAGATTTTTTCTCAAGTGCATGCAAAAATTCTCATTTTCACAAATCACTCCAAAATTGGTCAAAATATGCCCATTTTTCATGATTTTTCTCATTTTCAAGTGGGTGCAAAAGGATTTTCAGGTGGGTGCAAGCCTTTTTTGAAATCTCAAGTGGGTGCTGCGCCCACTTGCTTTAATGCTGGGGAGATCACTGATAGGTATGACTTGTTAGACATACCATTGGTGTTTGGCTTCAGCGGTTGATATATTGTATCTTGAACAAACTGTCGTTCTTTTATTTACAATATCCTCTGAAGTTGTGTCATTTGGTCATGTTAGTGTATCTAAGATTAGACTGGTATCACTTCAGTATGGATGATGAGATGCCTGAGAGCATGTCCCAAGAGTGTGCAGCCAATAGGATCAACCATATTCCTGATGATGTCTTGCTCCATGAATCTGGAAAACTTGAGTTTACATCACAGCTGGTTGACCAATTGAAGTCAGAGGGACATCGTTGCTTGATCTTTTCCCAGTCTAGGAAAATGCTGGACATTGTTCAAAGGGTGTTATCTAACAGGGTATGTTGCTCAACCTTCATCTACCATAAAATGTTACATATTAGCAATACAGTGAAATCTGTATATGTGGAATCCTTTAGTGCCTCAGAGTAGTGAGTAGTTCTACTTATAGATGTTCAAATGTCAATAGGTAACAGCACTTTGAAAAGTTGCCACTTACACTAGAGAAGTGTTTCACTATAGAGGTTTTACTTTGTATGAAACTTATGTTGGAAGATATTCAGAACGTGACACTTAAAACATAAGGTTTTCAAATTATAGCAGTTTACAATATTTGCATTTCTAGCAATGTAATACTGCAATGCCATATGTGGATTAATGATTTTAATGATTAAAATGTACCTCATTATTGAATAAAACCTATGTGTAATGTGAAAAGAAAAAATCCTGTCCCTTTTAATAGACTTAGAGCAGATCTTGCACTTAATTTTGCGAATGTGCCTTCACCAGAATCTGCCTATGGCCACCATATTGAAACACCAATAATTCAATATTTCATATTTGATATGACCAAAATAATTCACCTTTCTTTATAAATAATGTCATTTTCATTACAATGAAATTATGTATAAAACCATATTTTAGTTTTCAGTTTGACAATAATGTTATTCTAACCTTATCAAACTTTATGATATGAATTATTGTTACTGTGACATATTTGAAATGAATTATTACAAAAACAAACAAACAAACCTCTAGCTCTAAGCCAACATGACTTTTATATATTGAAAAACCTTAAATGCTCTTAAGCTGAATCGAACAATGATTTTATACATAACTGTGAGCCAAGTGTTAGGGTAACATAATCTAGTACGAATAATTCTTTCATTGTCAAGTTTTGATTTTAGGGTCACAAGATTATACGACTTGATGGTACTATAAAGCATCTTGAAGACAGAGAGAAACGCATCAACAAATTCCAGTCAGATTCCTCATATACTGTGTTCTTACTGACTACCCAGGTTGGAGGGGTTGGGCTTACTTTGACAGCTGCCAATCGAGTCATCATAAGTAAGTGTAGATTATAGATTCCTCTTTTTCTGTGTTCTTACTGACTACCCAGGTTGGAGGGGTGGGGCTTACCTTGACAGCTGCCAATCAAGTCATCATAAGTGAGTGTAGATTATAGATTCCTCTTATTCTGTGTTCTTACTGACCACTCAGGTTGGAGGGGTTGGGCTTACTTTGACAGCTGCCAATCGAGCCATCAAACATAAGTATAGTCTCATCTTTTTCTGTGTTCTTACTGACTACTCAGGTTGGAGGGGTGGGGCTTACCTTGACAGCTGCCAATCGAGTCATCAAACATAAGTATAGTCTCATCTTTTTCTGTGTTCTTACTGACTACTCAGGTTGGAGGGGTGGGGTAACTTAAACTTTAGCACTTGTCAATTGAGTCATCATAAGTAAGTTTTGACTCCCTATTTTGTGTTTCTACTGACTTCAAGATTTGTGGTTTGTAGAAATACACACGTAATGGAACTTTATCATTTTCACCCTATATCACAACACATCCTATAGGCAATGTCAATAATTATTATATTTATAGTCTGATTATTTTCTTCAGTTGATCCAAGTTGGAACCCAGCCACAGATAATCAGGCAGTTGACAGAGCATTTAGGATTGGTCAGGACAAAAATGTTGTCATCTATAGATTGATCACATGTGGAACAATAGAAGAGAAGATTTACAGACGTCAAGTCTTCAAAGATTCCATCACACGGCAGACAACTGGTGGAGCCAAGAACCCACATAGGTGAGATTTGAAATATAAAACAAATGGTTGCGGCACCCTGTGGAAATTAGAAAATTACATGCCACCCTGTTAAGAATATGTTTACACTCCGACGAATGAATAAAATATTGGTATATTTTGGCCAAAATAGGTCAAATTGGTTTACATCAATTTGAGAGATAACTGTCAAATTTTCAAAATAGCATGTTGAAAGTAACTTGAATCGCCTTAAAATGATTTTGAAATCGATTAGACATTGATATAATATTATGGCATTATTTGTAATCCATATTTAAGTTTTGCATAATTTTGTTTTGATACCATTTTTATTGACCTTTAGGTATTTCACAAAGATGGAGCTGAGAGAGTTATTTTCACTAGGAGATCCAAAGAGATCCTCTACCCAGGAACAATTGAACGCTCTACATGAAACTGAAAGGAAGACAGACACAACACTGGATGCCCATATAGCTTACCTGCATACCCTACGTAAGTAATCACCTATAGTCAAATATTAAACATCCTTATGCCAGGGGCCAAAGAAACAAACCTTTGTTTATTGCATTTCTAATAGGATTCTATATTCTTGTTCAAAAGTAAAAATAACAAACCACATACAACTGTACAAAGAGAGCAATTTGTAAGGTCGAGTTCAGGTGACCTTTTTATTGAAGCTAAAACACATTAGTGGGCTACTTGAAGTTTTTAATCTGTAAACTCCTTTTACTATTGATTCTTGTTCCAAAGGAATTAAGTCTGGGTGCTCTATTAAACATACAGTTCCTGAAAATCTAATTGAAGCGGCATATGTCTGCCATTTGTGACAACGGTATCTGACTTTACCATTGTCAGGCTATTCCGGTGTGATCTTACAGCCACATTCGCTAATAATATAGCCCCAAATCTTAGCTATGATCACTGAGGAAACTCACAGTATAATGAAGTCTGGTTAGTACACATGAATAGATTAATGGTGAAGGGTTGCACAGAAAATGTTTGCTACTTGGAGTGACACTGCCCATGATTGGATTGATCATTATTCAACATCTCATTAATCTTAAAGACTTTTTATATGAAGTGTCAGAAATAATGAGGCGCTTATCATCACTTGGTGTTATATTTTTTCTCTTATGATTAAGTATGTGGAATTATGAATGAAATTATTGCATAACAAACAACTAACACAATAAACTTTTTTGAATTTCAATAGATTAATATATTTCAAGTGATTTCATCAGAATCATAATATATTCAATTATCCATGTTCAGATTTCATTCTCAGACTGCCAATTATGGGAATCAACCACACGCGTTTGTGTTGCATTCCACATCTTCTACCTGCACAAAGTTACCACCAGCTGTCTTAAAGCTATAGCCAGGACATTCACCATTCCCAATGGGTTCAGGGTCTGTACATACTCTCACCCTGGACTTGGTTCCTCCTCCACATGCTACTGAACATGGTGAATATCCACTGAAATTTCCCCAGCCCCCAGGAGTTGAAATTTCACTTTTGATCCAATCTAAATAGTTTGATATTTTGACGTATACCCCAGATTGTTCCCCACATGAATCAGGACCCCAACTCACTATGCCATACTGGTACCATTTATCCCCCTGACGGCACATCAAAGGTCCCCCAGAGTCCCCAAAACAAGAATCCAATCTCAATGACCCATAGGTCTTATTAGGGTTTAAAGCAGTGGCGCAGAACATATTGTCTGTCACCTTTTCTCTGTCTGATAATAATTTAAGGGTACAGTTCTTTCTTTGAAGATTGATGTTAACCTCATTTAAAACATCTGCCATCTGGCCCAGACTTGAAGCATCAGTTGCTCCCCATCCTAGAACTTTACATAAACCCTTCTTTATTTTCCTTCTTGAATCTTCAAATGTGTCAGTTGGGAGATTGATTGGATGTGTATGATTGTTAAACTGAAGTGGAGAATCAAGTGTGATAATAGCAATATCATTATCTAAAGTAATTGGGTTAAAAGCAGTATGTATTGTTACACTTTGAATTGTTCGGTTTTGTTCAAGTGGTGGTTCAGTAGCTGATACATTATGTTTACCAGTTTTTATAAGCATGACCAATTTGATGAAATTAATTGGGAAATTTTTAAAACAGTGGGCTGCTGTTAGAATATGTCTTGGACTAAGAATTGTGCCACCACAATGAACTTTACCGAACCATGAAATGTGAACCATCCAACGATAATTGAAGGGAGGATATACCACAGTTCCCCCTATTGTGATTGTACCTGCATCTGTTATAGCCACCCCTGGGCGTGGGCATTGGGCAGGGGACTGGGGATGACAGATACGCATGTTCAGTTCAGCATTACGTTGTGATACAAGATCATTCCTGGAATTTTTGCATTTTCTCATTCGGATCTGTTTTCCACAAGACGATGGGCATGGTGAAAATAGAGAAAAATTACCTAAAAATGAAATGAAATAATTACACTTTATTATTTATTAGACATGAATAATTTCATTTGACGTTGATCAACAACCCATTGAAGAAAAGATGGGTATTAAAATGAAGGCCCAAAACAGGAAAGGTATGCTGTTTAAGTATACAAAGAGTGAATTGTATGTAATGTTGTAATGTAAGTGCCACTTGTCAACACGTTTTTAAATGGATTACCGGTATATATTGTTAAAAGTAAAGGAAACTTAAACTGAAATCCTGTTATATGTTGGTTTTTATTCCTTAGTAAATGATATACATGTCTCTTAATTTTATTGTATTTTGAAGTTACATACCACATTGGTTTTCACATGTTGAGTCATCACATTTGGTATTGTTTCTAGATTCGCAAGTACATACAGTACAGTTATCAGCCTCAGTCCATTCTCCTTCATATTTCCTATGTATGTTTCCTGATTTGTCAAAGCAAATGCAGTCCTCGCAGCATACTGTATAGCGATTTTTAGCATCTGAGATACAGACATACCCCGAGGGACATCGTATACTGCCGCCTCCTCTGCATTTGTATGGTACACATGTTGAATTATCAATTAGAGGAATGCATCCAGCTGGAAACTTCTTATCTATACAACACTCACCAGTCTTTTTACGACACAAATATGTGTTTGGACATGGATTGCGTTTGTTACATCCAGTAGCAATTGGGTGCTTTATAGCGCACCCAGTAGCATTCGGGTGATTTATAGCGCACCTTTTTCCCCCACCTTCAATTGGTGTAATCAGTATCAAAGTAACAAGAATATAAGCGAGAGTCACCCCAACAAGGCTCATCTTTGCTTCCATTTGTTTCCTGCTTAAATCAAACTCCACTGCTGTATATTAATTCATATAAATTGCACACATTGCAAACAGTACCTGGTTAAATCCTGTCAACTGAGCTCATAACTCTTGGAAAATTTCACATGCATATGTTTTCAACAGTATTTCTTTTTAAGTCAGGATTAGATGAAAGACAGGTCAAAAATAGGGTTCCCTCTAGATTATCAAGGCATTGCTTGAAAACAGGCAGTCAATTTAAAATCTTGAGAGAAATTACATGAAATGTGAATGACCAAAGGTATTTTTGATTTAGGAGTGATATGGTAGGTGCATGTAGCATTAATCAAGATGAAACTACTTATTTATTATATTTTTATTTATTCAGTAGGTTAAGTTGATAAATGTCATGTTGCTGAGTAGGAGTTTTCAATTTTAAGTCAATAACATAAATTATTAATTCCATATATTTTACCTTTCATATCTTGAAAAATTATTTATATTATATAGTTACAGTATTTATATCCATAGAACATGTGTACGTTTTTATAGATTTTATTACATAAAATATAACATATTACAATTTAACCTTTTTTGGCATGGGGAGACGGCTATCTATCGATCAGAGTTTGCGTAATTGTATACCAAAGAAACGATTACGTAATCATGAGATAATGTTACGTAATGACAGCGCAAAATCATGATTATGCAACCTTATATAATCATTAATCTTTGGGATAAGATAGAGCCCATAGGGGACCGAGTGCTGAGATAGATAGCCGCCTCCGAAATCCAGGCCACCCGATACCCCCTATTAAGGGGGCGAAGGGGTGGGGGCGGGTAAGCGTCCGACTTCCTCAAGATGCAAAGCTGAAACTGTGTAAACCAAACTACTACAGGACAGGTGGTATATCATTAAGATAAGTTATTGTCCCGGCCTAATTGGATCTGTCAACAGACTTTTAATTGGGCTGGTAGGACAGACATCGTTCTCTGTGATATAAACCAGATTTAACAAATTACTTGTTAAATCACAAGATATTGACTCAAGTTATACCAGATATTACCAAAATGGTGGCTCTCACTCAGAGCATGAGCATATATGTCAATTCACCCAATAAAACAGATACAACTGATTGATAAAACATGGGGAATATATTAAGGTATGAAATACTATTATCGAGTTGAACTTGATTGAGTTTTAATGGAGGAAATTCATGTTTAACTCTATTAATGCCCATATCACAGGCTGGTATCGAAATATTTGTCCGCTGTGACGGAGCATGCTATTTTTCATAAAAACACTAAGAATATTTCACGATTTATTTTTTAACTCATATGTTTCGTTATACCATACAAAATTACTTACTCCATGCAATGGATAGATCATTTGCGGGTAACTTTCACTTCTGTTTGAAGTCCAATTACGCTGGGTAGAAAAGCTATTGAAAATGGCGCTGGAGTATCATACTCCAAAATGTACCATTTCTTGTTTAACTTTCTAATGGCATGATATAGTGACACAATAATATTTACACATGGTTTCAGCATAACTATGAAGGTATAAATGAGATGTTGATGTATTTGGTCTTTTTAATTCTTTTATAAAAAATAATGTTTAATTTTTTTGTCCGCTGTGACGGAGCAGTTGCAAATGTGAACTGTGAAAATGCTCCGTCACAGCGGACAAAAAATATTAATTTTATTTTTTATAAAAAAATTAAAAAGACCCAATTCATTAATATCTCATTAATACATTCAGAGTTATGCTGAAAACATATGTTAATATTATCGTGTCACTATATCATACCATTAAAAAGTTAAAAAATAAATGGTACATTTTAGAGTTTGATACTCTGGCGCCGTTTTCAATAGATTTTACTCCTAGCGTTATTGGACTTCAAACAGAAGTGAAGGTTACACGCAAATGATATATCCATTGCATGGAGTAAGTAATTATCTTTGATATAACGAAACATATGAGTTAAAAAATAAATCGTGAAGCGTTCTTAGTGTTTTTAAGAAAAATAGCATGCTCCGTCACAGCGGACAAATCTTTCGATACCAGCCTGTGCATATGTTTACTTTTAGAATGTTGTTATTTGAGACATCTTCTAAAGGAGAATTTGGGAGAGTCATTGTGCGTTTAATAAAGAGAATATGGTATTTGTTCTTTCACTTCATGATAAACAATATTCATTATGTCATCACCACAAGTGGTGACATATTGTTATAGTCGGATCAACTCTTTTGGTGGCACTTGGTGTGATAGGGGGTGATACTGATGTTTTGCATGTTAATGCCTCGTTGATCGATGATATAAAATTGTTTACCATTCCAATAACATAATAAACTGTTTTGATTTACATAACAAGAAATTTATTTTTTAATTTTAAACTCTCTAAAGTTAACAAATGTTACAAATTGCTCAAACTGTTCTTTTAATTAACCACATGGTTTAATGTTGCATTCTATCTCTTCTATTTGCACAAAGTCACCACCAGTTGTCTTAAAGCTATAATCAGGACATTCACCATTCCCAATAGGTTCAGGGTTTGTACAGACTCTCACCCTGGACTTGGTTCCACCTCCACATGCTTCTGAACATGGTGAATATCCACTGAACTCTCCCCAGCCCCCGGGAGTTGAAATTGCACTTTTGATCCAATCTAAATAGTTTGATATTTTGACATAAACTCCAGATTGTTCCCCACATGAATTAGGACCCCAACTCACTATGCCATGCTGGTACCATTTGTCCCCCTCCTTGCACATTAAAGGTCCCCCGGAATCACCAAAACATGAATCTAGTCTGATAGAACCATAGGTCTTATTGGGATTTTTAGCACTAGCACAGAACATATTGTCTGTTACTTTTTTCCTGTCTGATGGTGATTTAAGAGTACAATTTCTCTGAAGGTTAATCTCTGCCTGCATTAAAACATCTGACCTCTGATTAAGCTCTGAAGCATTAGTAGCCCCCCATCCTATGACTCTACAAAGACCTCTCCTTAATCTCTGTATTGTGTCTTCAAAGGGTTCATTTGGGAGATTAATTGGATGTGTGTGGTTGTTAAACTGAATGGGTGTTTTAAGAGTAACAATAGCAATATCATTATCAGTTGAGTTGAATCCTTCATGCATGGTTACATTTTTGATTCTTATGTTTTGTTCAAGAGGTGTTTCTACAATAGATATATTATGTTTACCAGTTTTTACTATGATGTAGTTTACAATAAAACCAAGTGGAATCTTGGCACGTTTGTTGTTAATAAAACAATGGGCTGCTGTTAGAATATGTCTTGGACTGAGAATAGTACCACCACAAAGAACTTTGCCCCTATAGGAAAAATAAACCATCCATCGATATTTGAATCTTGGTTTCACCTGTACTCCCAGGACAAGCATACCCACTTTGCCAACCCTTTCTGTTAAAGCAACTCCTGGTTGTGGACATTGGGCAGGGGATTTGGGGTGACACATTTCCATCTTCAGTTCAGCCTCAGAATTTTTGCATTTTCTTATCTGGATCCTTTTACCGCATGCCTTCAAACCAGATGACATAGGGCACGTAGAAAACTCAGAAAATTCATCTGAAATTGAAATGACAAGTATATTAATCCATACTTAAGTTTTTATATAACAACAAGTTACAAATTAAGGCAAACGTAATGTTATCCTATGTCAGAAAATGACATACCACACTGATTTTCACATTTAGAGCTATCACACAGGGGAATGTGGTCAGATTCACAAGTACATACAGTGCAGCCATCAGACTCAGTCCATTCTCCTTCATATTTTCTATGAATGTTTCCTGAATTGTCATAGCAGATGAAATCTTCACAGCACACAGAGTAGTAATCCTTTGGGTGTGTGATGCAAACATAGCCATGATTACATGGTCTGCTGTCTCCTTTGCATTTATAAGGGTCACCAGTGAAGATGTCAATTTCAGGATTGCATTCCTTTGGAAAGCTTTTATCTCTGCAGCACTCTTTAGTTTTTTTGTCACATCTGTATGTGTTTGGACAATCATTGTGTATTTCACACACTGCAGTTGGGTGCTTATCACATGTTTTAGATTTCATATTCACTCTTGGTTTCTTTCTCCCTTTCTTCCCTTTCCCTTCAATTGATGTTACCAATATCAAAGCCATAAAAATATAAGCTAAAGTTGCCTCGGTGAACCTCATTTTTTCGTTTGCTTGCTTTATAGATAATCAACAGTTCTTGCTTTATGTGAAATTGTGACCTTTTTATAATATGATAAAACAGATATATTGCATTAGCTGATAGTATGTTGTAGTGTTAACTTCCTATTAACTTTAGAATCAGTTGCTTACAAAATTTTCCAGTTGTTTGATTTCAACTAAGAAAAAATATAACACAATAGGGAGAAATTATTAAGTCAAAAGGCACATCTTTAAAATTTTTATTGAGCAGACATACAAGGCATATCAGCAGTTCCCTCAAAATCATGAGAGATGTTATTTGAAATAGGTGTGATCAGAGATATTTCAAACACAGGATTGAATAGAAAGTATTATGAATTATACCATTTAACAAATACGAAAATGCATTAATGCTGTTGTGATCTGATATTTATTTGTTATTAATGGTTTTCATTGCTTGACATTATGTGTATTATTAAACTGTGATGGGCAAACTGTATAGGATGAGAGCTGTCATTTGTATTTGCAAAACATTGTTATCGCATCCATTATAAACGATATAATCTCTATACATGTACATGATGCAGGACAGATGTAAGGACAAATACAAAGGATCATGAGTATTTGAACAAACTAATTTTGAAGTTATTTAAATAACAGTATATATTCTTTATTTCCAGTATGACATCACTTTTATCATGAACATTATTTAAATGATATATGCTCCTTTTATGTTCAGATTGGCAGTTCATGTGATCAACCACACATGTTCATGTTGCATTCCACATCTTCTACCTGCACAAAGTCACCACCAGCTGTCTTGAAGCTATAATCATCACATTCACCATTCCCAATGGGTTCAGGGTTTGTACAGACTCTCACCCTGGACTGGGTTCCACCTCCACATGCTACTGAACACGGTGAATATCCACTGAACTCTCCCCAGCCCCCAGGAGTTGAAATTACACTTTTGATCCAATCTAAATAGTTTGATATTTTGACATATACTCCAGATTGTTCCCCACATGAATTAGGACCCCAACTCACTATGCCATGCTGGTACCATTTGTCCCCCTCCTTGCACATTAAAGGTCCCCCAGAATCACCAAAACAAGAATCTAGTCTGATAGAACCATGGGTCTTATTGGGATTTTTAGCACTAGCACAGAACATATTGTCTGTTACTTTTTCTCGGTCTGAATTTAGTGTAAGAGTACAATTTCTCTGAAGGTTAATATCCACTTGCATCAAAACATCTGACATTTGATTCAGTCTTAAAGGATCAGTAGCTCCCCATCCTATGACTCTACAAAGACCTTTCCTTACCCGTCTTCTTGTCTGTTCAAATGTGTCAGTTGGGAGATTGATTGGATGTGTATGATTGTTAAACTGAAGTGGAGAATCAAGTGTGATAATCGCAATATCATTATCTAAAGTAATTGCGTTAAAATCATCATGAATTGTTACACTTTGAATTTTCCGGTTTTGTTCAAGTGGTGGTTCAGTAGCAAATACATTATGTTTACCAGTTTTTATAAGCATGGCCATTTTGATGAAATCAATGCTGAGTTTGGAACCTGCACTGTTAATAAAACAATGGGCTGCTGTTAAAATATGTCTTAGACTCAGGACTGTGCCACTGCAATGAACACTGCCTAGATAAGAAATGTGAACCATCCAACGATAATTAAACATTGGATATACCTCATCTCCTCCAATTACATCAATGCCAAAGTCCATGATTTTTTCTGTTAAAGCAACTCCTGGTTGTGGGCATTGGGCAGGGGGCTGAGGGTGACATATTACCACGTTCAGTTCAGCATTACGTTGTGATGTTATATCACCTTCAAAATGTTGGCATTTTCTTATCTGGATCTTTTTACCACATGGCTTCATACCAGAGGACATAGGGCATGGGGAAAATGCAGAGAAATTACCTAAAATAGATTGCCATTAATAAATTGGTGTTTTGAATTAAAGTTTCTTAATTTTGCATCAAAATCAATTAAATTAAACATTATTTTCAGACAAAAGTACATACCACATTGCATTTCACATTTGGAGCTATTACATTTAGTATTGTTGTTTGATTCACAAGTGCATACAGTGCAACCGTCTGACTCTGTCCATTCCCCTTCATATTTTCTATGAAGTTTCCCTGACCGATCATAGCAGACAGAATCATTGCAGCAAACAGAGAAAGTACCCCTAGGTTGTGAGATACAAATGTAACTGTCATTACATTCTTTTCCGCTGCCACATTTAAATGGAGCACATGTTGATTCATCGATATATGTAATACATCCCTCTGGTGGGAAACTCTCATCTTTGTAACACTCTTTAGTTTTCCTATGACACTTGTATGTGTTTGGACATGGATTGCGTCTATTACATGCAGTTCCAGTTGGGGGAATATCACATGAACTTTGTCTCTTTTGTCTCCTTGGTTTCCCATCAGCTGATGTTACCAAAATCACAACCACAAGGATATATGCCTCAGCCAGCCTCATTTTTGCCTTTCACTTATTATTAAACTTTGTTGTAATGGTGATACTGTAATTTTCATGAAATTTTATGAAATGACATTAAAATGTAAATGTTGCAATAATTGATACTATGTGTTGTATTGTTACATCCCATAAACCTTACAAACAACCCATTGGCAAAATGTTATGGTGAAATGTTATGAATAAGGAAAGAATTATTGAGGATACAAACATGTACACTCTTAGATTGGATATATTCCAAGAGAAAACAACCACTTCAACGAGACTTATAGAGAGTAAGTATGAAATTGGTTTGCAAGAGAGAGAGAGAGATAGAGAGAGTCATTTCAAACACAATGTTGTTATGATAGAAGCATGATAATAGTGTAATAAAACTAATCATTTATTTGTTAAATGCCATATTCGTGATACTTTTAATTCCAACACTTCAGGAATTATAAATTCAACATTGTTCATACCAGTGAATATTAAAGACACTTTGTTTGTAAAATCTCACATCGCTGATAGATGTCTCTCATTCAATGGCTTTTTACTGCATGATACAATGATTCCGATATAGCAAATGGCATGAAAAGAAACATTGTGGATCTACAGAATTATTCCTTCCCCTCTGCACTGCAAATGTATATCCAATATTGCAAAACAGATCATATAGCTGTATTGGTTGAGAGGGCTGTCACAAAGTAACTGATTGAATATGTATGCCAAATTCCATTAACAAACTCAATCTTGGGAATGTGCATTGCACTACATTACATCAAAGTATACGGGTATGGGGTACTAAAAATATGAAGGATAAACTGAAAAGGTGTAACTGAGTGTCTGTTCATTTATCAAAATAGCATCAACAACTAGCTTTTATAACATCCAAAAGCAAAAAATGTTTAATAAAATCAGTAGAAGCTCTCCAATGCAATAACATTTTAGTCTGAAAAAGTCAATTTCAATTTTATATTATAGTGTATATAGCTATTGCAACTTTCTATTATTAATACACGTACTAATAATGTTTTAGTATCCATTTGTTATGCAGCTAAACAAATCCCCACATTATTCACAGCATATAGCATGTAAAAGTTAATGGTTATAATAATTGTTCAAATATAAAACATCATTTTCATTTTTACCTTCATGATCTATTTTAGTATTTAATTACATGCATTATTTTTTTTTAATTATTTGTTTTTCACCCTCACACAAGTATAGGATTTCCTATGAGTTTGAGTATTGAGTTTGAGTGAGTTTGAGTATACTGTACACTGTGTATAGTGAATAAAAGAGAAATTTTGAAAAACTCAAATCCTATTGATCCAAATAGATAATTAATAATATGATGTAATTATATGCAGTTTCCTGTATTGTTTATGGTATTTATACACGAAGAGGCTTTGGTATTAATTAACAATGAAGTATATACTTTTACGTTAAAATGTTCATAATGTTTAATAAGCAAGCAGAAAAAGTGGGTATCACTTGAAAAGTTTTTAACTAAAGCTACAAAACATTTTGTTCCCAGTGTTGAAGCATTATCATTTTTTATATTTCAATTATGTTGCAAATATAACAAAAATACACCAAGAATACTATTACTGAGTGTATTTCATTTGATCCTTCCAAAGTTTGGACCTACAATCCTACAACTCATTAATCAAATGTTTATGATATTACGAAATTTCATCTTGATTCACAAGGTTTCGATGTCCTCACCTTGATAAATCTGCCCGATTTAACCGACCACTGTTACATGAAATAAAACCCAGCTGAGTTCACTTTCAATATTGCTCCTCCTGAGTTTTCCGTTTTGTGAGACGCCACTCTAATCCACGCCAATTAATGATGCGATATTTATTCAGTCAGTATAGACATTTTCAATATTTTGTCACGTAACAAAGCCATGTAACGTAACTTGGCCATGAACCGCCACATATGAATGGGAGAAACAAATTGACCTTTTATGCCACAGGGTCTCTGGACCCAGTGGAAGTGACAATGCCGAAATATCGACAACTTCAATTAGTCCAATATAGTATATTGCTTTCTGTATGTTTACAGCTATGTATGGAGTTTCTGACCATGACCTGATGTTCTCCAAAGAAGTACAACAGGAAGATAGCGACAATGAAGACCTCACAGCTGGAACAGACTACATTCAAGCCAGGGTAAGACTATTGCTAGGAATTTCTAATATGCTCACTCTCATATTCAAGTCATGGTGTGACTGTTGCTTAAACTGTTTCTTATTTTCAAAGTTACTCATATTCAAGCCAGGTTAAGACTGTTGCTGAAACTGTTTCTTTATGTTCAAAGTTTCTCACTTAAGCCATTATAAACTTTTGCATAAACTGTTTCTTGGTAACTCATGTTCACATTAGGCTAAGACTGTCACTTGAAACTTTTTCTTTTGTCAAAGTCACTCATATTCAGTGTATAACATATTTTGGTGTTTGAATACAAAAATGCTTCCCCAACGTATTTCAGGTTCAGAAAGCACAAGATCTGATATCTAGAGAGTCTGAGCTAAATGAAGGTCAGGGCAGTGAAAGCAGTCGTGTCCCAGACAGACCAAGGCCTGGAGGAAGTGGGGGAGTTGGTGTCAGTGAGTGGAGGCCTCCAAAACCTCAGTCACCAGGTATCTGCTTCTCCCATAATGCATTGCATATTCAGCAGATGTTGAAAATATTATAGTGCAAAGCAGATTAATTATGAAGAGATTCATTTTTATCATTTGTGAATATTTTGAAGTAGTTTTGAAATTATACCATTATACTTCCAGAGGTTGACCTTACTAACGAAACATTGGACAATGACACAGATAATAGTATAGAGGAGGTCTCAACTGAACATGATGAGTCTGGTGATCATGATGAAGAGACTGAAGAACTAAACAAGGATGTTGTTGCACAAGAGGAGGAGATGAATAATACAGCTGCTAACCTCACAATGGAGGACATCGAACAAGGGGAAGATGCAGAGGTGAGTAGAAATGATGCCACTCATTAGGTCATAATTGGAAATTCAAAATAGCTTTCAAATCATGCAGACATTGTTTGAAATCTCATGGGAATAAGTCATTTGTATTTAGAATCTTGTAAGACACAGCAATAGCATTTCTTGCATCTTGTATCATTTGGTTTTCAAAATTAGAACTCAAGCATGTCAAGTCTAATTGGAAATGACCATGTAACACTGTTGTAGGGAGATATGGACAAGGAATACCAAACCCAGTTGGCCAAAGCATTAGCTATGAGTGAACAACAATACCAACACGACCAACTTAACAAGGTAATTTATCCTGTCCTTAATTTGATACAATGTACAGGATCATTATCATTTTGTGTGGATGAATGCAGAAGCCATCCACTTTTTGATACAATATCCTAAATCTGCCTTTCAGTAAAGCATTAAAGAATATAGGTAGTCAAAGTTTGTGTATAATAGTTCTACAATGTACACATGTATCGATAATAATTAAGTACATTTATTATTTATCTACTCAAAACAACCACACTGACTTTGTTTAACAAATTGTTTTACAGTTTGAGAACTTGGCAAATGATAGTACAGCTAATGAGAGAAGCATCCAAGACACATCTGCCAGTGATTCTCCATTACCACACCATTTTACACCACACCACAAAACACAAAACCATCTGGCTACTCCAGGCTCAGATTTACCCCATACCCCAGGGTCAGCTTTACCCCATTCTCCAGGGTCAGCTTTACCCAATATTCCCAAATCTGCAGTATTGTCCCACACACCAGTGTCATCAAAACACCATCAGAAAGACACTATAACGCCAAACATTGTCCAAGAAGATATTCTTATCTCCCCTGATCCAACACGGCCTTTAGTGTCAACAACACCACATGCAGAGGACTGCAAAATGGCAAAACAACTTTTCCCAGAAAATACAGAGAACCCCAATGAAGCAAAGGAGTCAGACACAAGTGCAATAGAAGAGTATCATATGGCAGATGAAGATATTGACATGAATGAAAGTGAGGATCATAATATGGATAGTGAAAATGATAATGGGAGTGATATGGTAAATGAACAACCTAAAACTATGGATGATTTACGCCATATTGTCGAAGACCACAAAATGAATGCAGAGAAGGATAGAGACTGGTTAAGTTCGTCTATAGTGATGGACTCCACAGAAAACACACCTGTAAAATCAAGTAAACCACCTAGGCGTAAAAGTCTATGCTGTTCTCGAAACTTTGGTGAAGTGATAAAGAATAGCGATGATGAGTCAGAAGAAAGTGAAAGCGTAAATGAAGCTGATGATTTCATTAATGATGATGTGGAAGTTGATGATGAAGATGATAGTATGGATAGTTTTATAGATGATGGAAGCATGGAGGATGGTGCAGTTTCAGAACAAGAAGGTAATACCAGATATATATGTAATTGCATTACTTAACCTCTTGAATCCCAGGCTCTAAAATCGATTGAAACCAGGGAATTTTTCATTTTTGCCACCTTTTGACATTCTACTACATACCTATACATCTTTAGTAATATTAGACGGCAGAGATCATTTCTTCACATTTTAAAACAATTTTTGTGCAAATTGGATGAAAATTGTTCAAATAAGAGCAATTTTAGTGAATATCTTTGTGACAGATTTTCTCGTCACTGGGTTTCAGGGTCATTTTTGAGGTGACGAGAAATCTCGTCACTCCAGGTAGTCAAGAGGTTAAAGACAAAATAAAAATGGGTCTGGCTGGTCTAGAATTTGATAGACTAAATATCTTTACCTGGTCTTCTTTATTATTTCTTTCAGGACAAGGGAAGTTTTTTGTTCTTTTTCATCTTCCAAATTGAAAGAATCAAATAAAAACCTTGAAAAACCTAATATATGTGTTGCAGTATCATATGACAAATCCAGGAGCTCAAGCACTCCCAAGACTTCTCGTTCTAAGGGTGCTAGGATAATAGAGAGCAGTGAAGATGAGGAAGTAAATGATGAGATTAATGTCACAAATGAGAACGAGGCTGCTGATGATGATAATGAGGCCGATATGGAACAGAATGATGGTAAGAAAACATGTAATAGGTGAAAAATAATGCCAAGTTACAAGATCATTATTTGACAAACTTTGCAAAGAGTCGAACAATAAGATTTCAAATCATACGTTTTATTACTGAAGGCTTCTTCAAGACTGCCATTGTTACATCGAAATATTGCAGTTAGTCCAATTATCTTTGTTAAAGGTGCAACAAGTAGTGGAGAGGTACCATTCAATGATCCTGGACCAGTGTCAAAATATAATAAAAACCTTCAAAAACCTAATATTTGTGTTGCAGTATCATATGACAAATCCAGGAGCTCAAGCACTCCCAAGACTTCTCGTTCTAAGGGTGCTAGGATAATAGAGAGCAGTGAAGATGAGGAAGTTAATGATGAGATTAATGTCACAAATGAGAACGAGGCTGCTGATGATGATAATGAGGCCGATATGGAACAGAATGATGGTAAGAAAACATGAAATAGATGAAAAATAAGTTACAAGATCATTATTTTACTTTAGATGTACTTGTACATTGTTGACACTTTTCAAAGAGATGCAGTTAGATTATAAGCATACCTTTTTAATGAAGGCTTCTTCAAGACTCCCATTATTACTTTGAAATATTGCAGTTATTCCATTTATCTTTGTTAAGGAAAATGAGATTGGTCAGTGAAATGTCAGGGATTATCTTTGTTAAAAACAAGGAACTCATGCCTTGAATGTTGTAAATTGCTAATTTTCAAGTTGGCTGAAACTGCAAAGGAGAGTTTTATTGTTTGCTTGAAAACATACCTTTATCATTGCTCTTGATGTTACAGTTGAAGAAGAGGATGAAGAAAATGAGGAGATTGATGAAGAAGAGGAGGAGGAAGAAGAGGAGGAAGGGGATGATTCTGATGATGAAGAAGACTCATTTTGTGCACTACCAGAGGAACATAAGGAACTGTACAATGAGCTAATAAGCAAGGGCAGGTAATAAAGTACTCTATTTGAAGGTTTAAAGTTATTTTATTTCCCATCATTAACAGTTGAGTAGGTAAAGACTGGTATAAATTGGAATGAATGAGTCCATGATATTTTGGTGGTGGAAGGCATTTCCATGAACTGTGAGAAGCTAGTCAGTTTATTAAGTCATCACCACAAGTGCTGACATTGTAATAGTCTTTAACTTTTTCATGTACAGCGTTTGTCGTCTGTAATAAATAAGGTAATGAATGACATGACTTAATGGAGGTAATGACATTTTGCCTTGTTATTGTCTGTATCAGTATACAAATGTATGAAGGAAACCTATGTAAAAATGTTGTTACCTATGGGGTCTAGGTGGTTCAAATCCAATATTCTGCAAACCTTTTATTCATTTACAAACTACAAAAATGTTTTGTTTGGATACCATTGCTTAATATAACAGTAAGTTGATTGTGTACATTGTTATTTTTAAGGGAGTGCTATGCAGAAAAGAATCCTAAAGGTGCCTATAAGTGTTTCCTACAAGCCCTAAAGATATATGCCAATGATGAGAAACTACAGAGTACAGTTTTACAGTTAAGAGAGAAACTCAAGAAATTGAAAGCGGCAGAGTCTCAGTAGAAAGTAGAAAAGACTGTTATAGAATACTTGAGTACACAACACATACATGTAGGTTTCCATAGATGTCACGAGGTATTGATGTGAAATTTACTGTAGTAGAAGTATCAAAGAATAAACTATGGTAGATATCATCGAAATAAATTGTTATTTAATTAACTCTTCAGTAACATAATAGAGGTTTACTAGAATAATAGCTGTATTGACATTTCCTCCAGAGCACAAACTGCATCATAGATTTAAGACGAATTAGATATAAAATATATCACGAACGGGAACATCATTCATTAAATCCATTCAAGAGCATACTCCAAAATATATACTTAAACGTCTCACAAAAGTGCAAAAGACTGGCATGAAGCAGTGTGACGTACGACTGGTCGGAAATTTGACATTTCGTCAAGAGCGCAAATTGCATAAGCGATTTAAGACGGATTGGATATTATATATCCCCCTAACAGATACACGATGCCCATGTCAAGCAGCGTGCCTACTAGGCACGCAGTTTGAAACTCTGACAAACTGCGCGCATATTTCAAAATGTGAGACGGGGAGGACACGACTCCCAAAAAGAGCCAAAATACGAAGAATACAAGGTTAGGCTCGTTCTAAAGATAGTACCATTCTGTGAAGATGAACTTAATTTACTCATAGTACTCAATGTTTTTCCCGATGTAAACCTAGTTATCTCAATATAAGAGTCTTAAGTAACTTCTGTGTTCAAAATTAACAGTGTAAAGTTATATCTATGTCTTTTTATCGTCATTTGCCGTTTATTCAGCCATTGTGTCTGTGTATGCTAGAATATATATAGTGCAGTCAGAATGTGGGTTTCGGCGTGCGTTCAGAGGGATTTTATGAGACATAATTTTTCATGTTACTACTATGATTATACATATTTTTATGGATTATTAGATCTTAGTTTTTCAGCTTTTAGATTTTGTGGCCATTTAACCCCCCATGGGCTAAAATTTGGACCCCTACTATAAAATTGGGCAAGAACTCAAAAAATACTCAGTGGAATGTTTCCAAATTACTAAGTTATATTGGTATAGACTAATTGAATATATGATAAAAATTTCATGTCACATGCTTAAGTGGTTGCCATGGAAATGGATAAAACATACCCTTCGGGTGTCAATTTTCAGGCCAATGTTTCAGGACTGACAGAGTCATTTCATGCATATTTTGTCCCCAATGTGTTGGGAAGGGTTAAAATGTAAATAGAAAACTCCTATAATATATTAGCTACAATTGTATGTAAAGATCAGTCCACAAAACCTCAGATTTTGGCCTTTTATTGGTCCATGACTTATACAGGGGTCTATTTCATAGACTCGAGCTCCCACATTGGATGGATGCTATAACTTTTGAAATAAGGGTGATACAGGTCTCATTTTTTCAGATCTTCATAAATGGTTGGTTTTAAGTATTTTAATATAAGTTTGGAGCTGGTATATGATTGGTTGCCATGGTAACCAGGGTTTTAAGGAAATCCTGACCCCAACATTGAATGGGTGTTATAACTTTTGAAATAAGGGAGATTCATGTCTCATTTTTTTCACATTTTTGACAATGATGGATTTAAAGTATTGATTTAGACTTTGGGAGCTGAAATTTGATTGGTTACCATGGAAACCAGGGTTTTGTTGAAATTCAGACCTCCACAATTGATGAACACTATAACTCTTAAATACAGCCAGATAAGATATAATCTTTTCGGATGTAAGATAATAATATGTGTGTATTGTATTAGACTTTGGAAGCTAGGATTTATTTGTCTGCCATGGTAACCATGTTTCATTGTCATGGTAACTGCTGTTTTCGTTTTCAGATTCACCTTTATTCTAAAATACCAAGTTGCTCAAAGTTACCATTTTATTCTTAATTTTGGGATTTTTTTCTATTTTATATGATATACAGTGTACATGCTCATGACTCAATAATACTAGAGATGCAAACATTGTTTGGCTCATAAAATATCAAATACTAGTAAACAATACATGTATGTCTGACAATATTGCCTTATTCCATAGGACTAGTTCTTACAAAAGCTCTGACTCCTAATTTGTTCATTTGTACTCATCATTACTGTTTTCATTTAGCACAATTTCCTCTTATCATCAATTTCTGTTGGAATGAAGAATTGTTTTGACCATTCTTGAGATAAGGATCCTTAGGTCCATTCATGCAGTATTGGACTTGGTAGAATGGGTTAAGACTGGTCCCTGTGGGTTCACTGTGTATAAAATGTGGTTGGGATCCTTGGCTGAACCCTCAAATATCAATATGTTCCCATCCAATCTGTCAAATTTGAATGTGTTCCGATATCAACCAAAATAATGCCCAAAAGCCATACCAAATGCCCAAATATAGGACCAGTGCCATACCAAATATCCAGATATGAAAACATGGCCATTCAAAATTTCTAATGCCTCGAGAAGAAGGCAGATCATTGAGGAAAACAACCAAAAACAACCTCACATTAAGAATATACTAGATCAATGCCATACATGTAAAACAAGTGTGGGGCAACATATTTTTCACAACCATTCCCAAATCCGACCATTGCCATACCTCTCAAGTCATAATTTGGAGAGCATTCTCATACCAGATCCTAAAATTTGGGTCCATTGCCATATCAAATGTCAAAAGAACCCCACCTGAGCTGAGGATCCCCTCAAGGTTTATATACAGTGAACTCTTCAAATGTTATAATGAGCAATCATTACAAGGTGGAAGAGTTCATCATTTAATTCATTGCATTATATTAGTTGCAATGAAAGCAGTGAAGGACCAGTCTTGAAAGATGGGAAGAGTTGAAATGTCAAAACCTCCATAAGTGAGGGCAGCACGGCTCTGCTTTGGAGAATATCTTATGTGAAACAGCTCATATCGTTATCTATTGATGTAAGTTACAAACATATTTTTGTAATTCTGCTGTACTTTTACTGGTGAACAATTCAACTTTGGATTTTTTTGTGTCAGAAATTTCTATATTGATTCCTATTATGAAGAAAACAACCTTAAGAACCTCAAATGTGAACTATGTCCCATTAGATGTCAGAAGCTCAACCCAACCCCTGTAGCTGCAAACCTAGGACTAAGTCCTGTGTGAAGCCATATTAGCCTTCAATGCGTTTACTGGATCAGAACAGAGGAAAAGTAAATCAACTGAAACGGAAGACAAACAATTCTTAAAGTTGTTTTCTTCTATAGGAAACAATATAGGAATTCCCGCTACCATAAAATCGAAAGTTGAATTGTTCACCTGCAAAAATACAGCAGAAATAGAAAAATAACTGCCACTAATAGATTACAAGATGAGCTGTTTCCCATGAGATACAGAACAAAACAGAACAGTGCTGCCCTCACTTATGAAGGTGTTGACATTTTCTTTCACATTTGAAGAGGGTAAATTATCAAACCTATGTATGGACACATTCCCACCAGCCTAAACCCAGCTCTACCATTATGCCCAACACTGCATGAATGAACTGTGAATTCCCTGACAAATCTTTAACACAAGAATGGTCAAAAGAATCCTTCTTTCCAATAGAAATTGTTGATATTTTTAATGAAGAGGTAATTGTGGAAGATGAAAACGATAATGATGAGTAAAAACAAGTTGGGAGTCAGAATATGTGTGAGAACTAGTAGAATGGAATGAGGCTATACTGTCAGACATACAGGATAATTTGCTGAATTTAAGAGCAAAATGATAATTTTGAGTGTTTTGGTATAACATGTTGTGAATTGACCATTCTCAAATGAAGGTAAAAATGAAATAAAAAATAAAGGGTACCATGACGACGAAACATGGTTACCATGGCAATCAAGTAAATGCTAAGCTACAAAGTCTAATTCAATACACAAACCTAATTAATTTTTAAGACCTGAAATGATGATATCTGTATCTGCTTAAATTCAAACGTTAAGCATTTATCAATTGAGGAGGTCCAAATTTCAATAAAAACTAGTTACCATGGTAACCAATCAAATTTCAGCTCCCAAAGTCTAATTTAGTATTAATAATCAATCATAGTCTAAGATCTGAAATAATGAGACATGTATCTCCCTTATTTCAAAAGTTATAGCATCCATCCAATGTTGGGGCCAGAATTTCCCTAAAACCCTGGTTACCATGGCAACCAATCACATGTCAGCTCCCAAAGTATATTAAAATACTTAAAACTAACCATTTATGAAGATCTGAAAAAATGAGACCTGTATCTCCATTATTTCAAAAGTTATAGCATCCATCCAATGTGGGAGCTCGAGTCTATGAAATAGACCCCTGTATAAGTCATGGACCAATACAAGGCCAAAATCTGAGGTTTTGTGGACTGATCTTTACATACAATTGTTGCTAATATATTATAGAAGTTTTCTATTTACATTTTAACCCTTCCTAACACATTGGGAACAAAATATGCATGAAATGACTCTGTCAGTCCTGAAAAATTGGCCTGAAAATTGACACCCGAAGGGCATGTTTTATCCATTTCCATGGCAACCACTTAACCATGTGACATGAAATTTTTATCATATATTCAATTAGCCTATACCAATATAACAATGTAATTTGGAAACATTCCACTGAGTATTTTTTGAGTTCTTGCCCAATTTTATAGTAGGGGTCCTAATTTTAGCCCATGGGGGGTTAAATGGCCACAAAATCTAAAAGCTGAAAAACTAAGATCTAATAATCCATAAAAATATGTATAATCATAGTAGTAACATGAAAAATTATGTCTCATAAAATCCCTCTGAACGCACGCCGAAACCCACATTCTGACTGCACTAATAGGATCACTCTATCTGATTAAAGCAGCAAAGTTTGTGTTCAAAACGATAATACGCCATAAACGTGATTTAAACATTTTTCTTGTCAAACTGCGCGCCTATATTCACATGTATTTCCCAAACTGCGTGCCTAATATTTCCAAACTGCTTGCCTATCCAAGCTTGTTTTGTATTATTAGAAAACATAGCGCCATACAAGGCACATATGTGTCTAATAGTAGAACCCCATAATTGAAACACTATGAGAGTCCATCCACCAAGATGGTAATCTTAAAATAAAAGTTTTTTTCGTTCCCAACTTAATTGTCACTTCTATTGACGTGTCGCAAAAAGCTCGT